CAACCTGGCCTTGGACACTTCCAGGGATGGGGCAGCCACAGCTTCTCTGGGCAACCTGTGCCAGGGCCTCCCCACCCTCACAGTAAAATATTTCCTCCTTAAATCTAGTCTAAATCCACCCTCTTCCAGTTTAAAGCCATCACCCCCAGTCCTGTTGCAACAGGCCCTGCTAAAATCGTGTCCTCTCTAATAAAGAAGTACTAACACTTTTTTCTATAGTACTCATAAAATGTTAAACAAGTTCAAAAAGCACAAATGAAATCCAGGTTTTCCTATAAGCTTAGCCAAGTCTACATAGTGAGACAGAATTACCTTTCCTTTGCTGTAGTCCCAAAGTTTAAGAGTGCTAAAAAAAAAAAATAAGAGAAAACCAAAAGATTTTAGTTCTTAGGGATTTTTTTAATCTGACAGTTTCTTATCAGCAGAAAAAAATTTCTCCACACCAGATTTTCTTAAAGTCTACATGGATCATATTAGCCTGGTTTCAGAATGCAGGGTTAGTTAACCCCAAAGTATCAATTTTACTGCTGTACCATTCATATTCTCCTCCATGAAATCCAGTATGTATAAAGTCATGTAGTAGCATTACTATGGCAGCCAAAGAGCAGCAAAATAAAGTATTATCTCATACCCAACACTCAAAGTTTGTGTGTTTTTCTCTTTTTTTTTAATACTTACTTGTCCAAAGTTGCAGCTAATATGTATTTGCCATTTGGTGAGAATTTCACAAAAGACACAGGAGGGTTGTCATCATCTACAGCGAAATTAAAAGCATTATTAGTGCACAGCTGTATTGTCTCACTGGCAGACAACTTCTTTTGACATTAATTTGTTGCTAAGAGTTTCACTAAAACAGAATATCTGTGTCACAACAGCAAAAAAGAGAGCACAGACAGGAAATATTCCTACTTACCAATCAGTGTTTTCAAGCACTGGCCTGATGCTGTATCCCAGATTCGACTATTAAAAACACACAACAGCCATTACTATTGGTTTTGAAATCTTTGTTCCAATTTCAACATTACAAATACAAAGGCTTTTTTTTTTAAAAAACAGTCTTTTTTTTTGGAAATGCAAAAGGTTTGAAGAGTGATACAGACAAGAAATAATCACTTACCACAGTCCATCGTAGCTACTTGACACTATCAGGGATCCATCACGATTGAAATGCACCTGTAATGTTATTAATACGAAATATTAATTATTAAAATCAGTAACTTTACTGGTGTTCATAAACATTTGATCTTTAAGTTCCACTGAAGTCCTTATCCTCCATCACTGACATGGAATACACGTTTCTTCAGAAGCTAAGAACACATGAGCACACAGATACTCTGTTCAGACAACATCAGCAGGTTCCAACTTGGGGATTGTACCTTATCATTTCAAGGGCATGGAATTTAACCTCTTATGTAGCCACTTGTATGTTTTATGGCCAATTTATTGCCTTTATACGCCTCAAAATGCAGCTATTTTAAAGAATTACCACTACTAAGGTATATTTTTGAGTGTGAAATATCTTCTATGCAGGGCAGAATGATCACGTTACCGTAGCCACGATTCAACACATCTGAGGCTCAATTTTTTTCCAGTTTTCTCCACTTCAAAAGCATTTAAGAAATGAACACCTTTTTTTTTTTTCTTTCATTTGAATGGATATTGTTGTATTCTGAGTTTATTTCACCTGCTAAATGAATGAGATTTCAAACAAGAGCGTTCTAGGGAACAACCCCGCTCTGGACTTTGGTAATAGGTTGAGACACGAAGGCAAGAGACATCCAGGTTGTTCTCTTGAGCACCAAGAGACCACAAATCTGTGTCCCAGCATGACTGCCAGCCTCAGGTATGACTGGCACACCTCTGGTCTATTCACATTAACACCCAGGACCAAAATCCATACAGATCTCAGAGAAAACACTGCTCATTTCATCCCCACTGAGCAATGACCACAGCCCAGCCTCCATGCTGTGTAAGGGTTTGGTAACAGTCAGAACACAACCCCCTCCTCTAGAGAGGCAGGACAGGAGCTCTGCTGAACAAAATAAGCATGTTAGTGTGTTCATTTATTGTGAGGCACTTACAGCTGAAACTGGGTCAGAATGAGCAGGCAACGTCTTGAGGCACTTCCCTGTTTTCACATCCCATATCCTCACGCTTTCGTCAAACTGGAGGTGGAAGAAAGGCACAAGGTGGTTTTAGTGAAGCACCTGCTCAAGGCATGCAAGATGTTACAGCTTGGCTATGGCACGTGCCTCCCTCCAGCTGGATCAGAAAGCCCAGGACACAGGCACTGCACAGAGCAGGAATGACAGACTGGGAACAGCTCCCTGAACTCCTCTCCGTGTAGGAAACCTGCACGTTCAGGATGGATGAGGGCTTGAGTGTGTCCCCAGGCAAAGGCAGCAGTTCATCTAACTACAAGATGTGCATGTGGGGGAAGACAGAATTGAAATGGATTGGATGACTCATATTCTTTCATTTTATATTATTTTCAAACCATGTACTAAGGTCTGACCTGCTCTGCAGAGGGTCCAGGTGATTAGAAGTCACACTTGAGTTAAATTAGGGTCTAGGTGATTAGAAACTATAAGTACAGTTGTATTATAAATTCTGTATTCACTATTTATAAATTATAGTACATTGATTCAGCTTGCAGAAATCCTGTGCCATTCTAATCATAAATGTGTGCTGTATTAATCATAATAACATGTTAAGAAAAATAAAGGTGTAACTGTAACTATCATTTAGTGCTGCCATCAATCTGCCAAGGATCCCTAAAGAACCTGTCTGTCCCTTTAGTGACAGGTGACAGAGTGTGCAGTACTTGCTTTCCACAAAGGGAAAAAAGATAAATAAATCACTCACTGAGCCAGAAACGATGAGGTTTGACTGAGGGTTGAAGTTGCAGCAGAAAACGTAGTTACTGTGCCCTTTCAATGTCTTTAAGCACTTACCCTGAAATAAAATTTCAGTTAAATGTACAGCACCCTCCAACACCACAAATGCATTCAGGTAAGCCACATTAAGGTTAATCACTGTGCAAGACATAAAGAAACCACCTCTATCCCCAGATGTAGATGGGCAGAGGACCAGCTACAACTAAACAGGAAAGAAAAATTTCAACACATTTTTAATTATTGCAGATAAGGTGCAAACCCTTTGGGCTACACAGGAGATCCAATCAGTTTAACAGACTTAACCATCCCCCTCTTTCCAAGAGCAGAGGAGCCAGAGCTTAAAACTTTACCTCTCATCAAAGAACATCAGGCTGTCTCTCAGAAAAACATGAGTGAATGAAGGTAAATAACAATTTCTGCTCTTACCGAGCTTACATCCCATATTTTGAGAGTTTTATCATCGGAGGCAGAGACAAGAAGGTTGGAATCTGATGACCAAGCAACATCAGAGATTCCCTAAAACAAAGGAAAACAATTCTCTTCTCAGCTCTGTTTGTTCAGCGATACAGAAAAATGGAAAACACAGACTGCATATTACACTCACAGCTGAAGGCTGAATGAAAACCCAGCCCTGAGAGTCAGGAATTCAGTGATTACACTGGGTTAAGAGCTCCTTTAACATATGTTCATTTTAAGCTGAGCCATATACTCTGAAAACACCAATGACTTGTTCACACGGTTCTTACTGTGGCCACAAACCCCTTTGTTGGAATTCATAAACAGAATGCTATGAAAATTAATCTGAGTAAGTGGCTTTTCTTCATGACAAATGGCTGCTCTTTATAGTCTGAGTCCCCAAAGGCTGGGGAAGAAGATTCTAGTGGTTTTTCTATTGGTAAATCTTCATTTCTGCTCATAAAACTTCAGCGCTTGAGAAACTTTAAGAAACAACACCAAAGGGTTTGGGAGTTTGTGTTTTCTTTAGAACTTTGCAGAATGAGTAAGTGTTGTGTTTATGTAGGCAAACCCACAAGAAAAATTCAGTCTCCTTAAAAGGCAAGTCATTTTGTTCCATACACAAAGGAAAGATGGAACAGGACACAGTGTTACATGGATTTTCACCCAGGAATGCCCTGCCCCGTGTCTGAGGTGGGTTCTCCTTAAATTCAGGGACAAAAGGAGCTGCCTGGGCAGGGAGCAAGCAGGTACTCCATCATCAGCCTGCACTTCACCCATATTCCCAACATTACTCCAGCAATTCCAGGACTGTATAAACAAAGAACTACAAAGCAAGACTGAAGAATAAGCCTTTTACACGAGTCAAACTAACACAGAATAGAAACTTCTGGAGGAGGAGGAGGAGAAAGCAAAATTCTTCAGAAGTAAATTCAAATAGCAATCCCTTTACACTTACCAGTTTATGACCAGATATTGTTTTCTCAAACTTGCCATCATACGCTCCCCAAATTTTAATGAGTTTGTCAGCAGCTGGAAAACAATGTGGCAGTTCAGAGATTAACAGCACGGGCAGAGCTGCCCCTTCCAGGTGGGAGGGAATACAGTAACTCCATCTCTGCAGACACTGGGCAGTTCTCCCCCCCAGCAGACCTCCATGAATAAGGTGATATGGAATTGGTAAAGAACAGCTTCCTACAGGTCAGGCTGCAGCAGCTGAGGTTACATAAGCTGCCTGGAATGCAGAGAGTCTCCAGCAGCTTTAGTTTCTCTCATGACAACTTGGGTTTCTACTTTTGTTTTAGATTGCCACTAGTAAAACAGTGCTGGTCCATGGGAATGCTGAAAGGCTTTTGCCCCAAAAAGAACTAAAATCACACCACAAGCTGGAATGAATTAATGCCTGCAGAAACCCAAACATATTATCCATGCTAACTTGCAAAACGTACTCCGGAGAAAAAAGTTGATATTTGCCAGATGTAGAGGTTGGAAAATCTGGGCAGGGGAGAGAGGGGGACTCTTATGAGGACACTTGAACATAAGAATGATTTATATGTGGCACACTGCACTGGTCTTATCGAGGCTGTCTGCAGTTAAGTCAAAGCCCCAAGTCATTCCCATGTCTGGAAGATGTTCCAGTGGCCCTTTTCAACTGCCCTTTTCCTTATACATGGATCCTCTCTGGATCACTGAGGGTCACCTAAACACATTTTCAAGGGAAAGCTGTCAAATGCTGAACACCAAAAAAAAAAATATTATGAAATACCAAAGCTAACAGGAAGAGGACTCGTTCTATCACTTAGGAGAGCAAGAAGTGAAATACTATTTATAACAACCTTCTGCATTTCACTGGGGTAACCAAAGGCTCTGACTACCAAACACCACAGGCACACAGGACAGAAGCACATGGCCAGTCCTCTGTATCACATTTACAGCCTAGAAGCACCTTCCTTATTTCCCAGAGCTCAGCTTTGCCTGGAGATACCGTACACAAAGTTTAAATTAAAAGCTTGAGCCATGCCTTTAGCAATACAGAAAAGCTCAAGGGTTTCCTTTGCACAGGGAAAGAACCCTGCCTGGTTTTGCCCATTTGCTCAATAAAGCAAGCTGAATGGGATTCTCCAACCTGGTAATGCAGAGAAGATCCAGTGTTCAAAGTAACAGAACTTAAACAGCTCAAATCAGATTATTTCAAAGACTGACAGCTTTGGTATCACTCCTTTGAGAAAAACTATGACACTACATCCCTTCTCTACCTGATGGAGGCAACACTAAAGACAGGCCCTTCTCCAAGGCTTATGTTTGCATGTTTGAGATGAGTTAAAAAGCAAGCAATACTTACAGGAGCTGGCAAGCCACTCTCCATTAGGACTAAACTTGACTGATGACACTGCCTTTGTATGTCCTGCTAATGTGAACTTCAGAGCATAGTTTGGTTTTACTGGAGCAGGCTGTAAGAAAAATGCATGTGAATGAGTTAAATTCCAAATTTAGCATCTCAGTGACCAGCTCTGGTCAGCACACAGGAATGGATCATGGGGATATTCACCACAACAGAGATTCCAGCATTTACATTCCTCTTCCCTTCTAATTCCAAGCTCCCTTTCTGTCTAGGGCCTTAATGATTCAAGCACAACACCAACTCATCCTTGATATGAATTCCATCCAAGCCAATAACAAACAGCTGAGAATAATCCAGCAGTCCAACCACAAAGTGCTTGGCAGTTCAAAATAACACTCTTGGTTATTGATCCTTGCAGCGCTTTTAAGTGTTTGCAGTTTTCACCTCTATCATGAATTAAATCACAGGCCAACTTCTCCATGCCCCTGAAATCCCACTTTTACCCTTTCCACCCTTTGCAAAGGCTTCATGGTAAGAGAATATCATCTCCTTTGAGCATCTGCAGGCTTCAAAGAACCTGAATAACTGTTTCCCCACGCTGCAACTATGATCACACATTCACTGATTCTCCAGTCACCTCCAGGCATTCCAAGGATACAAACAACCTGTCTTTGTCACACTAAAAGTGACAAGAGGCAAGAACTTCCTCAGAACCAAAAAGACCCCAAGCACTACAGGAGAGCCTACACTCCATCCACTTTTCCCATAAAATCCTCAGCACAACAGCAGGAGCAGAGACATGGAGATCTTAATCTACACGAGAATTCAAATCCTTAATTGTGGCCTGGCTGTTCAATATGCAGGTAGTTCCACGTGTATTTACAGGGATATTGTTTGGAGCCCCACACACACCTTGCTCTGATTGGTGGAGGAGGAAGGAGTAGATTGTGTTTTGGTGGATTCTGCATCTGGCTTCTTTTCTTCTGTTGCCATGGTTCTGGAGCTGGCAAATGAGACTTATGGGTGCTTGAAGGGGAGAATGAATGTGCTGCTTCAAAAGGCAGCTCTTGCCACGGAGAGGAGAACCGCACTGAAAGGAAAACCTGGAAGGAAAACAAAATATTCTCATTAGCTGTCAAAAAGATACTCAGCAGCCAGAAGAGTGAGAATGGTCTAAGTGCAGGTTGCCAGAAACAAGTATGAAAACCCTGTTTATTATCTGTTGAGCAACACAGCAGTATTTTAGGCCTTCAGACCTACTCATGCACGAGGCCAAGAACCCAAGACACGTCCTTTGATCGCTCCTTGGAAAGCTTTCTCCCACTCTGCCCCACTCCAAACAGAAATAACGCACAATAGCTTTGAGGTGTGGCAGGGTTTCTGTATCACATAACCCAAAACACTTTTAACAAGCACTTAGTACACAGTAAATACAAAAGTCTGCATGAAAAATGGAAGGAACAGTGCAAGGCCTTTTTATTTTATTAAGGTAGAGAATACAAGACCACAACGAAGACAAAAAATAGCCATCACTTCCAAAGCTTAAGACCCTGCTAGATTCCTTTCACCTCAAAATGCAAATATTTTGGTCTCATGTTTCCCTCCTCAACAGTTTGACCATCAAGCTATGCCCTTCTACACCCAAGACTTCCCCCTGACTGGAAGCAGCCTTGGATCAGTCCCTCCACACTCGCTTTCTGTAACAAAACCTGACGATGGAGTGCAGTGCCAGGATTTGGTAATCAGGGCTGATGCTGCAGAGGGAACAAATCTCCACTGCAGCTCAGCTACATTTCAGCTCAGGATCAGAATCACCCCCAGCTCACACTGTCAGGATTTGCCTTCCAAGCGCGCTCACAATATCCCAGCACTGCTGCCTCTCCTTTTGCTGGTGGCAGCACATTTGGGAGCAAGAGCATTTGCTCTCAGGATCCACTGGCATTCCAAGCATCTCCTTCCCGGGAGGGCACAGACCAGGGCACTACCAGTTGCCTGCGGGCACTACCCAGCCTTGTGCACGGCAGGGGAGACCAAAGAATCCCAGGATGGGCGAGGTTGGGTCATCTGCTCCCACCTCCCTGCCTAAGCAGGGCCATCCCAGAGCACATGGCACAGGACTGCGTCCAGAGTATCTCCACTGAGGGAGACCCCACACCCTCCCCGGGCAAATCGGGGGGGGCCACGACGAGAAATTAAAGTTTCCTAACGCGGATCTGCTCCTTTTCACATGGAGCTAATCCGGGCGCTCGGGAGAGCGTGGACACCGACTGCCTGGCCCTGCGGGAGGAGGGCTCCATTCCCACGAGGGTCTCTCCATTCCCGTGGGAAGCAGCTAAATTCCCCGGGGGGGGGGGCTCTCCCAGCACATCCCAGCGCATCCCTCGCCACCAGGCACGCGGTACCGATAACACCCCTCAGCCCCTCCTCTCCTCCCAGGCCCCCGAACGCCCCTTCCCTTCCCGCCCTCGCTCTGGAAAGGGGGAGTAGGGATCCCAAATTCTGGAAGGCGGGGGGGGGTCGGGGAGCGGGGGGTTTGGGGGGGGGCCGGGCGGGCTCCGCGCGCGCCGCCTGCGGGAAGGGGAAGGGGAGCGGAGGGAAAGGGAGGGGAGGGGAGGCGGCGGCGCCGCGCGCGGGCAACGGCCGTGAGGGGAGAAACCCCCCCCGGGGCGGTGCGGGAAGATGGAGAGGCGGGAGAGAGGAGCCCGCAGAGGAGCCCGCCGGCTGCTCGGTGACTTACCGGGGGGGACGGGGAAGGGGAGGAGGACGAGGAGGAGGAGGAAGGAGGAGGAGGAGGGGGGCGGCCGCCGCCTCCTCCGCGGCGAGGGAGGAGCGCGGCCGCGGGAGGGGAGAGGGGGGGACGCGGCGGCGGCGGCGGGTCCGGGTCCGCCACAGGCGGGGAAGGCGGGCAGGGCGCCTGCGCGGGGCGGCGCGGAGGCCGCACAATGCCGCTCTCTCCCGGGAGCGCTACGGCGCGGCCCGAGAGCCAAAAAGAGCGCACGGGCGGGGCCCCGGCCCGCCCCTTCCCTCCCTCCCTCCTTCCTTTCTTTTCCCTCCCCTCCTTTCCTTTCCCTCCCTTCCCTCCCTTTTCTCCTCGGTTTTCCCTCCCTTCGCTCCCTTCGCTCCCGGCGCCCGCTGCTGCCTGTGCCGCGCGGCCCCCGTGGGTGCGGGTCACGTCCAGCCCGTGTGGGAAAACCAGGCACAGGCGGACACGCAGACAGACAGACAGACAGACAGGGAATGGGCGGCCACGGCTCTGCGGTCGTTGGAGCTCCGTTGAGCCCGGCTGGGAGAGGGTTGGGTGTCGTTGGGGTGCATGAGTGCAGGTTGGATGCACACAGCAGCAACCTCCGGTGAAAGCTGCTGTGGTATGGGCAAGCAAATTCACACGGCAGCAACGTCTCCATAATGCCTGTAATAAGGTCTATAATGTCTGTATAATGCTTATAATAATGTCTATGTGATGTCTATAATAACCTCTGTAAGGCAGGAATCAGCCTCTTCTCCCAGGGAACACGGGACGGGACGGAGAGGACACGGCCTCAATCTGTGCCAGGGGAGGTTGAGGCTGGACACCAGGAGGAATTTCCTCATGGAAAGGGTTGTTAAACACTGGAATGTGAGGAACTGCCGTTAAACGTTGGAATGCCCAGGGAGGTGGTGGAATCACCACCCCTGGAGGTGTCCAAGGAACAGCTGGATGTGGCACTCAGTGCTCTGGTCTGGTTGACAAAGCGATGGTCAGAGGTTGGAGCTGATGATCTTGGAGATATTTTCCAGCCTAAATGATTCTGTAATGCATGAGCCTGATGTGTGAGCCATTTAACACTGTAATCTTTGCCTGGGTGAGAGGATATCTAAGGCAAGAGTATGTAAGATGTTTTCTCAGTGTATCAGCACACGAAAGTCCTGACTCAGAAAAGTGTTTAATTCATTAAGCCCAAACAGCCAACTTACAACTAAAGATGTGTTTAAGCACTTTTCTGGAGAGCAGTAGGTTTTTCTGAACCCACACAGCACACACTGCAGTCTGCTTTCATTTAAGAGGGAAGAAAAGGAGACGCGTGTCATCTACTGGCCCTTTAACACAGGAAGATATTTAGGTTCCAAAAATTCTAGTGGCAGCTGAGAAAGGAAAAGAAAAGCTGAAAAAATCCTGTGGTAGAGTGAAGCCAAGGCCCTTCTCCTTCAGGCTGGAATCCCACAGCAGAAGTCTGGAAAATTAGCCCTGCCTTCTAAATTCAGGGAGGTAAAACAGAAGATACTGCAAAGTCACCAGAAGAATATTAAGAAATAAATCCCGTTCAGTTTCTGTTGGTGATTCTTCCACATGGTTTTAACTTAAAGTTTTCAGTTTTTTAAAAAATAAATATGAAGTAAAATGAGAGAACACAAATCAAATCAGCAGTATAATGCTATTTATAGAACTTTCTTGTGACAGTGTTTTTGTTTCTTTCATGTTGGAGATAAAAGTTTGTATTTTGCCTCTCAGTGTCTGCTTTGGAAATTTTTGCCTGATATATTTATGTATATGGATAATAAAGATATATGCATGTATAAAACCCCTCACCTATGATGAATAATATCTCTCTGGAACCTGAAAAAATTACAAATTAATTGTAGTCCTAAACAACCCTTTAGCTTCTAAGTGTAATAAAGATATTTTTAAACAAGTTTCAAGTGGGATAAACTCCCATTTGGCCAAGTACCTGATCCCATGCCAGGCTGGGTTTTTGACAGCATGGAGCTCGCAGAGAAAGACAACTCAGAGAGCAGGGACATTGCTTTGGGACTGCAGAAAGTGAGGGCCCAGGGCTTTGCATGGACAGAAATTTGGATGAAATTTAACTTGATGGTTATGAGTCATCTGTGAGGGTCTTTCTTGCTCCTCCAGCCAGGCTGCCACAGCTGGGATCAGCAGGATGTGACATCTGTCCAAATTCCCTCTCTGGAAAAGAGTGGGGCTTGGCAGGCTTCTCCCTCACAAACCCTTCCATTCCATTTGGTTCAAAATAGCCTGAACTTGATGACCTGCCAAGTGCACTGGAAAAGACACCTGTCTGAGGTTTTTTGGGGGAGAGCAGCTTCCCATAATGATGAAAGGGAAAGAACAGTCCACGATTGGAAGGAAGTACCTGCTTTTGGGATGGCTTTAGGGTGTCAGGAACAGAGCTGGGGTCGTGGCTCCTGCTATGACTAACGTATATGATTTTGTCACAGGTTCTGCCAAGACCAGAACTAACCCAGTCCTGCAGATTTCATTCAAAGGACATTATTGTTTGTGGAAAAGCTCCCAGTAAATTGAGTACACGCTGGACCTGCTCTTTAGACCTGCCTGCTGCAAACCAGCTCGTGCTTACGTTTGTAGTGGTGAGTAATAAGGCACTAAGCTCACAAGCTGTATGAGTCCATGTTTATGTTTTGGCACAATTGGTAATCTCAGCTCAGAGTTTTGTTTGCTTGGGCCTCTCAGCAGACAGAGGAGGCGCAGAACAGACTTGCTGTGTGTTACACTCTGCTCAAGAAACAGGGAGGAAGAAGTCACGAGAGACCTGCTGCATCTTTTAGGCTTCTAAAGAGCAGCTGATCCCTGACACAGAGCTGTTTCTGGGTGGTTCCTAACATGCTGCTAGGTGGTTTTTTTTCTAAATCCCAGATACATCACATTCATATGTTTCTTCTGGGATTTAAAAACAAACACTGAACCTTTTCCAGGATGATATTTCTATCTCCCCCACTACACTACGAGCTCTGCTTGCATCACTGCCAACATTTGTTCATTTAAAACTAGGAAATCTTACCCCAGTGGAGAGCAGGTGGGATTGGATTCATTCTGGCCTGGGAGGGATGTGTAGACACTCTTAGTCTGGCCATGAGGGGCCTATGGAAGTTGAAGAACTGCTTTCAATGTAATATCATTGAACACTGCATGTATCAAACTCCCCATTAGTAAAGACCTGCTAAGAAACAGCCCATGATTTTGAAGAGCAGGTAGGACTTCCCAGAGGACTGGAGTTCCTGCAGTGTGCTGCACTGTATCATTCAGTGCAAATTCCCCCCAGTGGAAGTCACAGCCAAGTTAATGCATAAAGGCTGCTGATTTGAGAGCCCCAGACTGAGTCACACACGGTCTCACTGCCAGACGTGATGACAGCCTGCCTCTCCCAGCCACTTCAACTGGAGCAGCAGGTTCTCAGCACTTGTGTGAATCAGGAGCTCCGTTCTTGGCTGGTGCAAATGGCTGCAACCACAACGAAGGGACAGTTCTGTACAATGGACTCACACCCCTGAAACAGTTCTAGTGAAATCTGGGTGTATTTATTATTCATTGTAATCTACAAATCAAGATGTTTGAAAGAGTCACCATTTGTTTAGAGCATCTTTGCACTGTTCTCTCCAGTCTTTGTAAGAAGGCAGGAGGAAAAGTAAGGAAACACACAGGAATCCTTTAGGGCTTTGGCCAGCTGAAATCTGGCATGTTCTAGTGTCTGTTGGTTTAAACTGCCAACTCAGTAGCACCCACTATTCACAGGCTTGCTTACCTGTGCAAACCACTGTGCTACCAGCAGGTGCTGGGTTCATTCATCCCGCTGAATGTCTAACAAAACCATTTAGATACAGGTAATTTCCAAAGAAACATATTTACTGTGGCCAAAGATACGTAGCCCTGTTGGCTGGGCATTTTCTCTTCCATTCTCAAACTCTGTGGTCATGTCCCTTTCTTCTCTCCCACAACAGTTTAGGCCTTTGCTCTGCTTCTTTCCATACATATACACCTTAGCCCACAGTAGCCCAGTCTCCAGCTCCTCCAAGTAAAGCTACATCCTGATAAGACTCACCAAGGTCAGACAGAATATTCTGTGGGCTCTTCATGCCCTTCCTGTCCTTCGCAGTGGAAGCCATTCACCTCTGTTTCTCTGGTTTGAGAACTTCCAGTCTGGAAGAACATTATTTAAATCCACTCTGGACCCTTCATTAGATATTGGCTGTCTCCAGGCCACCATTCAGATGATAATCAAAACTGCTCTTTGCAGGTGAACACTTACAAGATCCTTTGGGTCTTGGATCACTCAATTCTTTCCTGTCTTCCCTTCAAATAGAACAGTGCTGTGCCTTTGGGGGATCGTAGACATCCTGGCTCCTGGGTTCCCAGTTTGGGGGCTCTGCTCATCCTTTTCCAGATGAAGAGTGAACACCAAAGAGACAAAAGTTCTACAGGCACTGTCGCATTCCCAGGAGTAAGTAACCAGGATGGCCTCACCAACTGGTGTGTCCAGGCTCTCAGAATTACAAAGAATGAGTCAGAAAAGCTGAGTCCCAATTCTGACTCTGCCCATGATTCTCTGCCTCATCATATTCCCTCTCAGCTTTCTCAGCTGAAAAACAGGAGTCATAATATTTCCTTACCTACAAAAGCTGTTAGGAGGATTATTGCATTGTTGTGAATTCCACAGATGAAAGGTACTACAGAAGAACAAACTGCAATTATTGTTTCAAACCTCTGCCCTAGTCCTGTCATCCTTAACTTACTGAATAGCACTTACTCAATCGAGGAAATCCTGCCACTACAGTGAAGATGATCATTGGAAAAGATGACTCTCTTGTTGCAATAAGAGCATTTATCCCCTTGTGTTCAACACCCTTCTCCCTGCCACTGGGATGATCAGAATCACATAATCCCAGATATTTACTACACGTTTTTAAGCAATCTACTATTTGGGCACTATTATGTCTTTATCCCAAACATGGCTGTTATTGAATAAATTCCCTTTTTATAATGTTTAACATCCACTCTAGAGATAGCAGCTGCTGTGAGTCTGCTGCTGTGTGAGGTCTCTTGGAGCCCATGGTGG